TTCGTTTACTAATTAAGGAGAGCTCCATTACGTAATCATCATATAATTTTAGATTGCAGGAACAAAATTTATACAAACACAAGGTAAAATACAAGTTACAGGAATCGCGGCAAATACACTCTTTTGCAAAAAAATCGAAGCACCATGAAGGAAATGGTTGCTTTTGATGAAATTGAATGTATCTATAGCTCATACACAGATAATAAAATGATAGTAGCTGTTCACGGCTCACAATCAGCCACTGAGTGTTCAAATTAGTAGTTGGTCGAACCTTCCCTGGCGGCAATGCATGCTTGAATTCGTCGAGGCAAGGAGTGGTAGAGGTTCCTAATGTCATTTTGCGACACATTCTGCCAGACATTCATCAGTTGTCGCTCCAGATTTGCGATATTTTGTGGCAGCCTACTATGCCCCAGACATGCTCGATGGGTGAAAGGTCTGGTGGCCTTGCTGGCCAAGGAAGCGTATCAACGCACGGAGACAGTCCAGAGATATGCGAGCTGTATGGGGCTTGGCATTATCTTGCTGGAAAATGGCTCCAGGATGACGCGCCATGAACGGTAATGCAACCGGCCGCATGTTGGTATCAAAATATCTTTGAGATGTTAAAAATATACGGAGGATGACCTGCTTTCATAAGAAATAGCGCCCAACACCGTCCACAGGGGTTGGCTTGTCTGCTTTTAAACAAAGGCTGATACGAACCTCGGGCCCATCCTCTCCAGACACGAACACGGTGGTCATGCTTCAAGAGTGAAGCGGGATTTCGAGACCATCGATGCCATCTGATGGCAGCCATGATGGTCGGCTGCGACACCACTCTAGACGACTCCGCCGATGTTGTGGGGTCAAAGGCAAACATCGTAAAGGCCTCTGTGAGCGTACCCCACCTCAGACAAGCGCTGTGAGACGATGGACGGTACCATGGGAGGTATAGACGTGTGGCTGTTGTACGTTACCGTTGGGGCGGTTTGGGCCTGGCGAACAAACATCCTATCTTGCCTCGCATTTGTGCTCTTTGACCTTCCACAGCCTTCATTTCGCTGACAATTTCCTTGTGGCAACCATTGCTGCCAACTACATTGCACAGCAGTGTCTATAAGCTGCAGGTAGCGGGAGGCCGAATTCTCGGTTTTACACCCAACTTCACGTAACCCTACAGTGCGACCACGTTCGAAGTCATTAGTTGTCTGTAAGTTCTTCGATATCGTCACAATTGCATCTTTAGTTGCTTCCTTACGGAATTACAATGGCAGCAAAAAAAAAAAAAAAAAAAAAAAAAGATAAATTTTCCACCTCTGTTACTATGTTGGTTTTATACTTTGCGAATTGCGCGCTATGATCGCAATCCCTGTTCATTTGTCTTGAAACATGGATCATTTGCATGCTCGATCAAGATGTTTTTGCATACTAAATTTCGTCACGATTGCAAAAGTCCTTCTTAGTGCTTCCATTTTTTTGCAAAAGAGTGTATTAATCCAAGACATGCACTTCTAATTACAAATCTTCTGAAAATAAATCAGATGATTTTACAAAACACTTTTCAAAAACTATGATAATGAAGGTTTAATAAAACTGAAATATGATATTTGTTTAGTTCTCTGACTACTTGTCCTGCGATTTCTACGGGCAACATAAAGGTAGCAACATTTGCTCATCCGTTATGTACGTGGGCTTGCGTTTTTCTTAGTATTAAAAGCGTATCACGCTGTTTCAGTGTTTAACCATCAGTAATACATTTTGCGCAGTGCTTAGACTCTAAAAATTACCTTAAAAAAACAGGTGGGACTGATTTCCTTTTAAATGTAATATATTTGCGTAACGTTTGCGAATTGGTATATAGATTTCAAATGTAATATAAAAAATACTCAATTTTTGAAGCGATTTTTTTAAAAAAATTGAACAGTAAGAGAATTAGGGCTCTCACGGTGCTAAATTTCAGCTAGCAAAATATTCTTTGTGATATAAATAATTATTAAAAACTTTCGTATCTTTAAATGTTTTGCACTTAAATATTCCTTCTTCTTTCTTAATAAAATGCTTTCAGGAAGCAAGGTATAAATTTAATTACGAATACACTCACGTGATGGTTAAAGTGACCAGCAAAATGGACGTTTGTGATTGTTGTCACTTCCTAAGTCTGTTTGCTAAGCTTTCAACTTAATCAAAACTTGAATGAAAAAATAGTGAAGTTAAATATATTCATTCTCGATCATCTCCCACAAATGCTGCAAATTAAAATAAAATATGGAACTTTGTTCGTTTTTAGGTCATTAAAGCGTAATGAATATTTTGTAAGGATCCTAAGTTTTACTAACTTTTATTTTATTTTAAAACTTTTCTATCTTTCTTATTTTCCACTTCCGGCCAGAATTAAATGCTTTAACTTGTTTATGCAAATTGTACTTGCTAACGCCCAAGTATTTAAGTTGTGGCTTTTAGCCAAGAGTTACAGAGGGAGAGGAAGCGAGCGCTTGCCACTTGCCACTTGCCACTGCATTCTTACGAGTTTTCAATCAGTTGCTGCTTGCCTTTAAGGCCAGAAGTTTACCCCTCTTGATATTTGAAAACGTAGTTTTGATATTTGTAGTTTCAGCAGCTCGGCGTACTACCTACGTCCCCCTTTTAAAAAAGGCCAGTCTTAGTGTTAGGCATTTTGTTTACTAATTTCAAAGTTAGCTTTTAGTTAGAGTTTTATATTTTTACGTTCAGACCACAAGTGGTTGGTCTCTGTATCCCGAAGTACGGAAGCACCTGTAAAGTAATAGAGAATAAAGAGTTCAGTATACCTTTCTTGCTCTTGGTCTATTCCACACAATCTGGAACATAGCTTTAGTAAGCTCTCTGTTCTTATACAGAATATGTTATATTTCCGAAGCAAGTTAAAAGACATACAAGTCCGCACAATTTTGATTCGAATTTTTGCTTGTAATTTTACAGAACTTGACATAACAGTTTTGTAAAACACTTTGTAACTTTCGCATCTTTGTAAGTCAAAGTATATGTATTCTTAAGACATAATAACACGCCGAACAAATACTAATTCAGAAGTCAAACAACAAAAATCAGCCTTATATTTTCAAAATTTTTCACCGTGATTAGATAAGATAAGAAAGCCTGGACAAGAATAAGCAAGTGGCGCCATCTGTTGATGAAACCAGAGATCCATCTTTGCCACCGAAGGCAAAGATGGATTGGAATTAGGATCTTTAACTATTTGTTAGCGACTTAGGAAGACTTAGGAAATGACAACAATCACAAACTGTGACTGAAATTTATTATAACTCTGAAAAAGTTTGAAAATATAACGCTGATTTTTGTTGTTTGACTTCTGAATTAGTATATGTACTCTCTCACATTTAAAGAACAAAAGCGGGAAGACTTCTTTTCCAAATATCCTACACCCTCAGATTAATTATGTTTGATCTAATATCATATTTTTTTGGCGTTGAACCTTGCATTCATATAAACAAAAGATATTTTTCAATGTATTGCCACTGATTTTTAATAGACTGCTATTGATTTGTAATGATTGTCATTAATTAGAAAACATTTGCAAGCAGCGATCAACGAGATGTTTCAGATCATAAGCTTAGAATTATCCCAAGAACCGATTTTTGCATTATTAACCGATTCAAGGTTAGAAACCGCACTGTACACGTATATAAACATTTTAACCCAAGGACTATGCCAGATAAATATTTTATCGTACTTAGCATGTAACTACATGCTATTTATTGTCTACTACCTTTATATAAATTTTATCTTACCCTTTTATGTTTTAGTTCTTGATACTTAAGATAAGTTAAGAGTTCTAGAAAGATGGAAGTTCAAATCTTTGTAAATAACAAAGATCTTCTATGAATAGAATCGAATTTCTGATACTGACAAATTTTGATTATCGATACAATGAGTCACAGAGGTTTTTAATCTTAAGGAGATGGTATCACAGAAGATATACTCTAGAAATACCTACCAGTGATATTGCTTTACTGATGAGAGGTTAAATTTAAAAGTGGGTCCGAAAATATAATAACTAAGGCTATGTAACATTTTTAGTGATCTCCAGAGGTTCTATACTAATTGATTTCAAATAAAATTGAAATTGAAAAGCTAAAAAGTATTGTGTTGTTAGACCTATTTGGTCTTAAAAATTGCGCAATATGCTGCAAAAAATATGAAATAATAGGAAGAAATATTGTAGTGAGCTCGCCAAAAAGTTACCCGGAGCTGTGGCTCCAAAAAATAGTTCAACGTAGTATTTTTAAAAATATTAACATGTAAGTATATTTTTTAAATATTAATGGAAGTTGAAAAAGCCTACACGCGAAATAAATACTGTTAAATCAATTGTTGGAAACTTGTGAATGCACAAAAAAAGAGCAAAACCTATCGATGTGATAAGTGAAAAGTTAACACATATAAAACTGAAAGACGAACAAGTTAAAACATAAATTGCAAAAATTACAAAAATCATAAAAATTACAAAGCTGAAAATGGTAAATTAGCCCAATTGGACTTTCCAACCAGGCTTTTCAAGGGAAAAATAGTTGAACGTCGAACTAAGCTAACACCATTACGTGTTTCGCCGAAACAGACAACTGAAGCTCTTGTTTGACGAAAAAAATTTTTTTAAATAAAATGAATTGTCCCGAAAAAATCTTTTTGAGCTTCAATTCTCTGTTCCAATTTCCCGACGCGTCCGCAGGGAAAGCACATTAAGGTGTAAGAAAATGTAAATGCAACTCCGAGCAAAACTGAAAATGAAAATTAAAATAAAATAAATAGCGGTCCGCTATTAGTCAAAAAATACAATAACGTACGGGCTGGACCTGCTAGCTTAAAGAATGAAACCTTTATGAATATTATGGTTCTTAAATTAAATTCTAATGAAAACAAACGCCGTGGGTCTTGCTAAGACCAAGAAAAAGATTTTAAAAAAAAACACAACACACACACACAAAAAAAAAAAAAAAAAAAAAAAAACATAAAAAACAGACCTGTGGCTGAGCTGTCCTCTTGATCGCGAAACATACTATTTGAAAAGGGGTGTTATCCCCTCCGTGTCTTACAAAGCCATCCCTCTCGTCGTGTGACGTAGGCGGGTGAAAAATTGTCACTTCGTATCAGCCAATGCGATTAGATTGTATTTTGGCGGGAACTCGTATCCCCCCGTGTTAAAGAGAGGTTGAAAGACTCGAAAAGTACTACTCAGTTATAGTTCTTGTTCGCACCAATTCTTTTGAACACCAGTTGCTTGTTCAAATATAACAAAACAAAACAAAACAAAACAAAAAAAAAATCATAATATTTTCCCACCATTTTGGGGAAGCAAAATTGGAAACTAGTTATTAAAATAATCGCGAAACTATGTATTAGGATGCGATAGTATATGTGCATGTGAGTTTTCATGTAGATCAGCGTGTTTCAAAAAGAATATACGTATTTCGAATGCATATATATATTAAACTCTATGACATACGAATATGGAACTTTACACTGTACATATGTACATATGTACGAACCTCTCAAGTTAAGATTACAGATGTTACAGATGTTTAATGTGTCCTCCATCAGCCACAAGAACAATATTACCTCGATACTCAAATTCCTCCCATAGTCGGGCAGGCATGTCCGTCGTCACTGATGTTATGGCAGTACGGATCTGGTTCTTCACCTCTTCCAGATTTTGTGGGAGTGGTGTTACATAAACGTCTAAACACCATACATAAACGTCCACAGGAAGAAGTCACAGGGTGTCAAATCCGGTGACCGTGGAGGCCGGCTGAGACATGCTAAGTCGTCAGCTCCTTGACGATCAATCCAACGGTTCAGTGGAGTTTCATTCAGATAATTACGCACTTGGCGACACCAGTGAGGAGGGGGTGCTCCGTCTTGTTGAAAAATGAAGTTGTCTTCGTGCAGCCTTGGAAACAACCAGTTTGAAACATAGCGAGATACAGCTGACCGTTAACCGTGTTTCCATCAAAGAAGAATGGGCCGTAAACAGATGATCGGGATATCGCACAAAACATATTGATTTTGGGCGAATCTTGTACATGTTCAATGGCTGCATGTAGGTTCTGTAGGCCCCAAATCCGAATATTGTGTTTGTTTACATGACCACTAACATAAAAAGTCGCTTCATCACTGAACACGATGCATTGTGCGAAAGTGTTATCATTGCCAATAGCATCAGTAATCTCGTTACAATGCCACACGTTTGCGTTTGTCATCAGGAAGCAGAGCCTGTAACAAATGTAACTTGCACGGCTTCATAACCAACCGTCGTCTCAAAACACTCCAAATTGTTGTTGTAGGCAATTGTAACTCCCGACTGGCACGACGAGTTGATTTTGAAGGACTACGTTGGAAAGCAGTTTGAATTCGTGCAACATTTTTGTCGAGCACACGAGGGCGGCCAGGACTCTTTCCTTTACATGCACATCCTGTATTTACAAACTGTCGATATCATCTGCGAATGTTCCACCCATTTGATCACTTTGGTACATCAACTTGAAACGTATTTGCACTGTAATCACGAAATTGCACTTCGCAAACTCGAGAACACAAATTGATTTCTGCTGAGGAGTAGCCATTTTAAACATGTGACAGTTACCACGCAAAACAGAAGACAACTGACATCTAGCGGCTATTAATATAAACTACGTTTTCGTTTCGCCAATAGCCAAGCCAAAGCGCCGTCATCGATAGTTTGGACAAAATAACACTTTGTAATACGTATATTTTTTTTTGAAACACGGTTATATAAGCTAGTGAATGTATGCTAGTTGGGGATGTAATATTTTTTAAAGAAATCAGATTTGCCAATAGCGTACATGCACTTTCTTATGAACTGCAATATCATACTTCATACTGAAACTTATCCAGGGTGTCTCAAAAGGTTGTCGTCAAACTTAAACATGTTAATCTGTCATACCATAACAATTAAGATTTACGTACAGACTTGTGTCCGAAAATGCGAACGGCGACCTCTAAATGGCAATGTTCGCAGGCTTATGGGAGAGTAGGGGGGATCATTTCAGGCAAGGACGCTGCAGGAGAAAGATGAGTCGGTTTACTAACTCAGTTCTTTGTGTACACGTTGTGTGACATTTTGTGGAAAAAGTGATGACGGATCTCATGGTTGACGTTCCAGCAACTACACGCCGAAACATCTGGTTTCAGCATGATGGAACGCCTGCACATTTTAACAGAACTGTGAGGGAATACCTCGATAGGGGATATTCTGATCGCTGGATTGGCAGATGCGGACCATTTGGATAGCTATCGAGATCCCCCGACCAAACTCCCCTGAATTTCTACCTGTGGGGATACATGAAGTCCGTGGTGTACGAGACGACCGTAACATCAGACATAGATCTCATCGCGACGATCTTGGAAGCGGTGACAAGTATTCGTGACATAACTGTCCATTTTGAACGGATCCGTGAACTCATGCATCGACGTTGTGAAGCATGCATTCTGATGAATGGAAAGAATTTGGAACATTTCTTATGATTTAACTATGTTCCTTAATAAAAGTCACATTCACAACTCTTTCGACATCCTTTCATTTTTTTCCCTTTACGCTTACGAACATTGCCCTCTAGCAATCGCCATTCGCATTTTCGGACGCAATGGTATGACAGACCAGCATGTTAAGTTTGGCAACGACCTTTTAGGACACCCTGTATGGCGCATATTATTCATCTCTATTATTTTCTTCTTCTTCAAAAAAAATACTCTACTTTTAATTAACATTTATATATAATATAAGAATATATAAATATATACAAATATGTTCAGATGTATATTTTACATTTTTGAAGATATCAAGCAGCAGCAGGCAAAGCGGAAAAGCAAATGCGATATGTTCGAGATGAAATCATAGTTTAAAGTAATAAAGCTATAGTTTGCAATTTTTCTGTTGGCTTATAAAAATTTCGGTTTTGTTAAAAATTTCGATTTTCGAATCTTAAATCAGAGTTTGCGGCATGAGCGTCAAACAAGTCATATGATGCCTATTAATTTTGAAATGATGCAGTTTAGAAATAACGAATTATTGTTTTAGGACAAAAAAGGGTTATATCTGTATTAAAATGAAGAATCAAAGGTTATGTTAGGTTATTTTAAAATGGCAAAGCAATGAGCAATATGTAATAATGATGACTGTCTGGAAAATGGTTAAAGATATTTCTGTTTCTGTGGATTTACATCTTAATTGTCTGTTCCTCTTTTTCAGTACAGAGGTATCATCCATTATGATGCAGCATGCATCTGTCAAAAGACATCTTGTGAAAAATATCTCTTAAACTAGGAACAGAAATTGAATATGTCTCCCCTCATGATGGCTCTTTTCTGTATCTTTACGATGCCTGGTAACCTGGGATTCCTTCTTTCTGAAGTAAGAGTAAGAATTTCTAGACTTTTTGAACTATTTAAGTAATTTAAATTTTTTTGAAATTTCGGAAGTGATTATTCTAATGTAAAATGAGTTACTAGTAACTTAATTAAATTATGCATATTATCAGAATTATTGTATTAGGAATGCATATTATCATAGCATTTTATTAAATATAAACTGGCAGCTTAATTATCAAGATGCACGATTCTAGGTTAGATTTTCATTACGATGAAGCTGTGGTTAACAATGAAGCTGTGGTTCATTACGATGAACCTGTGGTTAAGGACACAATTACGGAAAATGCTAACTGACTGCAGGGGCGTAGCTAGTGTTTTCAGCACCGGGGGAAAACTGTAAAACCCCCTTGCCTCACCCTAGTTACGCTACTGACTGGCTAGTATTTGCATTTGCATAAGGGAAAGAAACAAAAATCTTAAAAATAATAAAATCCTGAATTGAAATCCGAACGAACTATTGCTGTTTCGTGGCCATTATAGGTTAGTAATTAATCTATCGGAAGGCATAATTTAAATTTCAGATTAGAAAAATTTAACTAAAAATTGAAGAATCTGAGCAAAATAACATCATAATCTTCAATAACTTAGTTGTTTCACTGCGAATTTTACCAGGGTGTAAGGTATGTTTTTGTCTGTACTAAACACTTTTATATGTTCTGAGATAAAAGATTGAGATTGACTATTGTTTTAGAATATTTTTTATAAATTAGTTTTACTCCTTTCATAAATTTATTTCTAGTAGCCTGCATTACGGAAATTTATACAGCTGGAAAAGGGTTTCAACTTAAAAAATTAACATTTCTAATGTTTCGATTAATTTTTTTCCCAAGAACGAGCTCTAGCCATTATAAGCGTTAGCCATTCCTAAGCCCGGAAAGGGTGGTCACTTTATTGTAGACGCACCTAATGCACTTCAGTGGCACGGTGCATCGAGACACCTTGGTACCTAGGCTAGAAGCATTACCCCGTGTAGATCAATAGTTTAAGTTACGAACGATAACAGAAAATAACCTGATAATTGTTATAGAAAAGGGTTTTTTTTATTTACATTTTAAATTTAGACTTATGATTCAATTAAAATTCATTATGGATCTTTAAAGGCACAGAGGCGACGAGGTGGTGACTATCTGAAATAAGCAGGTTAGTGACAAGTATAAAGAGCTAAGTGTGAGTAATGGCAGCTTGAATCCGTAATAGCAAAGGCAAGGAAATCACAAGGGCTATGTAACAGTTATAAAGGCAAGAATAAGCGTAAGTAGCAAAAACAATAATAAAATCAATCAAAAGCATAGAGGCTTAGGGTTGCAATACAAACTAAAATATAATGACTTAAGCATAAGCACAATAATAATCTTTAAGCATAAAAATAGAGCATAATGACTTAATTAGCATAATCAGAAGCAGATTTGACACAGGTATTTCAATTACACATTATTTACATTTGTACAAGAACCAAATATTTCCTCAAAGATGTCAAAAACAACAAACAATTTATCTATTGGATGTTCAGTGGTCTGGAGTACAGGTAATTTGACAGATATCTTTCTAAAGACAGACATAAGAGAGATACCTTTAAACATATTTGCAAGCTCTTTGAAGAATTTGACAATTTCGAACAGTCCATTTAATGCAGAATCATTGCTATTATTATCAGGGTTACTGGGAGGGCTTAATCTACCCTCAGGTTTACGTTGTTGTCTTTGGTTGTTCACACGATTGGCATATGACATACCTTCTTTGAG